ATGGATAGGAATTTAAGTGAACTCTACATATCTACCTATACCTATACCTAGAGTTACATATGGAGCCAACTGGGTGACTTTGGGCCAGTCACAGACTCTCAGCCCAACCTACCTCACAGGGTTGTTGTTGTGGGGATAAGATGGAGGAGTATGATGTAAGCTGCCTTGAGCCCTTTGTAGGAAAAAGGCAGGATATAAATCGAAAAATAAATTTAAAAAATAATAAAAATATTACTTAAGTAAATTTCTTACACATTTACTTTAAAGACATGCACCTTTGAGTCTAAGCTATCAAGATGTGGGCTATTTTACAATTAAATTAAATTGCAACCTATCAGCTAGGATGATGAATTATAAACACTTTCTGCTATGAACCAGAATTATAACTGCCATGATTTCTAAGGTCTAGCCAGCTTCCATTGTGCGAAAATGGGAAAATCTATTGTATAAACTAGCAATACTACAAAGGAGTTAGTCGAACCAGTTTGAATATACTATTTTTATTCCCTTTTTCTTAATCCTGTTTATCATCTGTTGGGAAACAGGCTGTGTATCCCAGGACCAACATGAAAGGTAGGTGTAGCTGAGCACCTTTAAGGCCCCAAACTCCAGCAGAGGCCCACTGACAAGAACTGCTATAGTTTTTCCACCTGTCAACTTTGCACATTGTTTATATACCTGCCTCTTGCTCTGGCTGAGACTATGGAGGTAATCCGCATGAGGAGTAGTGGATGCCACTACCTACTGGATCACTTATGTGAATGGGGTGGCATACACATATTCCAAATAAATAAATCACTGCCTCTCTGCCTTTCAATCAATCAAATGGTGGCAATAATGAAAATGCTGGATGAGCCAGACTCTTCCTTTCTTGTTCTTAGCTCCAAAACACCAGAGAGTTCTTTGCAATGCAGGCATTTACTGGTGCTTCACAGCTAATAAAACAATGCAACTCTAAAAGCCCTCTAGCAAGTCCCTACTCATGGTCAGGGTGTTGAGCTGCCAACTGGAAATGTTCCCCCAATTCTTCCCTTTCAGTAATGCTGCAGGCTTCACTCCTGGGTAGTTTGTGGATGCCTCATCACAGGGTCAGGAACAAGATAAGGCAGCTGGTCTCTCCTGAAACCCTTCCAAACCCCACCCTTCCAAAACAGACCTGCTCTCACAGTCAACTTGGGAAACACCAGGCAGCAACCTGGATGGAGCTTCAAAGGTTCCTGTCCCCTTTGATCCTCCTGCCCTCCCATCTCATCTCCCTCAGTGTTCTCTTCAGAATCCGATAACAGAGGTCTTTGGGAAGTCAGTGAAAAGTGAGTGCCTGGCCCACTCACTACATTGAGGAGCAATAGCAGCTGGTGAGAAGATGGACTTCCTGAGGAAAGGAGACCACTGAGCATGTCTTGCCCACAGGCACTCAAATCTGCTTAGAGCTGGACATGATCAAACTGCTTTCATCAAGTAAATGCTAATGAGTGGTTGCTATAGTTCATTTATTTAATTAAAAATTCTTAGACAGTGTTTCAAGGCAAAGCTTTCTCAGGATATTTTACAAGGTAACATTGCAAAACAATACAATTTAGCTAGGCAGAATCTTTGCCCTTTCTTAGAGCATGGCAACATGCATGCCTCACTTTGCCTAAAAGAAAAGTTACTGGATTGGGTCACACATCATGACAACCCTCCTTGGCAATAAGCCACAGCAAGTGGGTTGTTCAGTGAATAACCCACAGCTAGTCCAATAGACCCTGTGTAGGTTATTTGTTCCTTCTCTCACTCCCCAGTCTTCCAGGTGATATCCTTGGGAACAGGGTAGCAGGAATGAGTCATCACGGCCTCCCTGCCATGACTGAAAGCCACAACTCAGAGGTTTAATAGGGCAAGCCAGTGCCAGCTAGTGCCAGCTAACTCTGGTGGTGAACATGGCCGACTCAGAAAAGGCAGCAAGAGGCTTTTGCTGGTCTTGCCAAACGGCTTGTTCTCTTGGTATTATCAATTATGCTGTGAGGATAACCCACCAGTGCTAAAAAAAAAAGGTAGCACAGCCCATGGGTTCTTGAAGTGGCTTGATTAAAAAGAGAAAAAACTATGGGTGACCTGGACTGGGTTTGGACAGCATAATAACCAACTGCGGCTCTCAGCCCATGATGGGATGTTCTGTCATTCAAGCTAGGTCATTCAGTCCTCATGAGGGGATTAAGGCAGGCCTTGGAACAATGGAGTATGTGCATTGTTAGCACTACTTCAAGTGCATATAATGAAATGAATGGGATTTAAATATTAGATACAGCCCCTTGATTTGGAAAATGATCATTAATTTGTAGAACTCTGTAACTATACCAATATACATATGTTTGGTCTCTTTAAGCATCTTGCAACAACATGTGTTTAGTTTACCCTACAATTTGAAAAGAATAAAATTTCACACCCAAATTGGCATGATCAACAAAGTAAATAAATAAGAGATACAACTATTTTTGGCTATTTTATATTTTTAAAACAAAAAAAATCTAAATTAAAAACTGATTTCAGATGTTGTCCAAAATGAATGGTTCACATATCTGCACACAAACAAACTACTAAGCTCAGCTGTTTATGTGATGATCCCCATTAACTGAACAATTGGGCATTAATTTAATTTTCCACATTTGGATCTGCTGTTCTGCTACAGGAAGAAATTAATCTTGTGAGGGTCATATTTGATGCTAGCACAAGTTGATGTAAAGAAATATTTATTCCTTTTACAACTAATGAGTTAGCAGGAGTAAGCTTAGCAGCTGCAAACACAGCAAAGCTCCATTGGGGATATTTTATTTATTTATTACATTTCTATACTGCCCAGTAGCCAAAGCTTGCTTGATGATATCTTAGCTATAAGCCTGTACTTGGGTTACCACTATATAAACTATTCAGCTCTACACAGTTTAAAAAGGGAGATAAAATGCAATCTCCAGAACAATCTTGCAGGAATTACATATAATGTTTGATTATAAGTAGGGCTGAGCTGAAATGTCCTGCCCACAAATTGGCTGTTCCTATATGCAGATATCAAATCAAGGTATCTACTTTCATGATCTTCAGAATGGTGCTGAGGTCTCACAAACCATTTTGAAAAAGCACTAATCTCCCCACCACCAGCACCAGCACCACACAGTGAAATACAGAATTTAGAACAAGCTTTAATTTAATTTTGATTTAAACTGGGAAAATAAAGTCTTGACCTGGTGCTGGAAAGAATACAATGTAAAGGCCAGGAGACCCTCCTGGCAAAGCAGGGCACTGAAGCATCTCTCTACAAATTCCTCTTATATGTATATAGAAAATATAGTGAGAAAGAGATGGAGAAACAGTTACTTTTACTACACTTTTAAAGACAAGGGAGAGATGAAAAAGTAGCAGCTGCTGCAATTTTATTTCACAGCAGATTAAAAGGATACGTGCACACAGAGACAAAAATCTAAGAGTTTGCTCTCCTGCCACAAGATTGTAGCCTCCTTTAGGCTTTTACTTTTTAAAACTTTACTACACCCAAAACAGGGAAAAATCCAGCCAGGCTTGAACTGTAACACTATTTCCCTTTATGTGGATTTTCAAAACTAAAAACTGAAACAAAATCACAGGTTGAGTTGGGGTATTGGGAGGAATGGAGCTAGCCTAGAATATCAAGTAACTTATCCTTTGGTGTGGTTTTCAGGAAACGTTTTCCATTCATGCTGAAGACCTTATGGATTGCTATCATGCCCAAAAAGTATGTTCACATAGTTTGGCTGCAGATTCCAGGGTATGGTGTTTCCTTGCTTGAGCTTTCTGGGCCTCCACCATGAACGTCTTCTTACACTAAAGTTACCTGCACTGTTCTTCATTGTGTGTTTTACTATTCTGAGAAAATGTAGCATCAGGGTTGTAAGATGGATAAAAATCTTATCTCTGTCACAAACACTCCAAGCAGTCTTAGACAAGACTATCTTTTAGTCTTGTCATCTGCATTCAGTGGATAAAGCAACTTAAGCATTTGTTCAATGATCAATAAATACTGCATCATTTTCTTCTCAACAACAACAATTTATGCTTACCTGCCTTATCGATAGGAAAAGAGCACTGTTGAGATAATATATGTGTACTCCTTTGTGCAGATGCATGACCTTTATTATCACGAACATCTGGGTGATAAGAGTTGCTAGACTAAATGACTGCATACCCCTTTCTCTGAGTCTCTGTTCTTTTATCCCGATGAGGACTGCCTGTACTTTTGTTACTCCAGCTCTAAATTATCCACCAGAACCCACCGTTTCCCTTGGACTTTCAGGCCCAAATCCAAATAGGGAGGATGGACAATGGGGTGTACTGCGGGGCGGGGATCTCTTGGTCCTATATTGCCTTGTGAAGCATCTCAGTCTTACTGTATTGGTAGAAAAAAATCTCCTATGAATCATAACACATCATACTTTTAAACTTGTACACCCCATGGCAATTTTTACTGGAACTGTTTGAAATTTGGCACAATTGTTAATCATGGTTGCCAAGTTTTGATTTATCAGTTCAGTGGGTATCACTTGATAAGCAACAGAAAGTTTAAACTTAAAATGCTGCAAACTTTTCTTTCCAGCTCCCTTTAGTTATTAGGAGTAGAACACCTATCATATATGTTTTATACATATCAATAATATAACTTTGTCCAAATAAAAATGAAGGTGGCACTAGGAATGTTTAAAATACACTTTTAAACTGTTCAAACTTAACAAATTCCTCTGGCTTAGTGAAAGACAATAGCCACAGGATTTTCTTTTTTCTTGTTACCCAGAAAACATTTTACCATAATTATACTAAAACAGCTTATCTGGGACTGCATGCACTCTATGACAATGAATCAACATAATAGAGCTAGAACTCTTAATATTTTGCTGAACTCACACACCTTTCAACAGTTACACCCATGTTTTGTTTTGTGTCTGAACTGGAACACAAATGGACCTGGAAAAAAGCAAAAAGTGATATAGGCCTACCTATCAGCATCACCCAGACCCAGGGAGGTGTTTCGTTGCAGAGTTTCCCGTACAGCAGCCATCCCATCAGGAAGTCTGTTTAACCTTCGTGTGTAAAGGCCCAATCCACCATCCGTCATGTACCTTTAAAATACCAGAAAAATGTTAACTATTTGGTAAACTATTAGCAAGTTTACCAAAATAATGCACAGTATAATCTACTTAAACTGAATGTTAAAATATACCAGTTTTAACTATTTGTTATATCTACTGTAATAGCATATATGTTCTATATATGTCAACAATTAGAAAAACATTCCACATGTGAATGGATTGTTAATTCTTTTAATGTCTGCCTTGATTTTGAAGACATCTTCATAAATAATAGATTTATTCTTAAATTATGGCAGGTGTTTATAAAGCATGGATTAGCTAAGCATGTGTTGAAAACCTGCTTCTACCAAGTCTTTTCTTGCATGCTCTTCATTTTGAGAAAATCCTTGCTGATGTGGTGTGTAATTATATACTGTTTCTAATTCAAATCATCTTTGTGTGGATGTATGGAACCACTTAAAAGCTCTCTCTTCTATAGTACTCCTTGGAACAAATATAGCTAGCTGTAGGCCTTTGGACCTAATTTGGTCTGTTGTGTATTCACTGACTAATCTGGCATATCAGTTTTAATTAAGGTGCAACAAGCATTTTGCTCACAGCTGTAGTCATAAGTAACTTGTTATGAAGGTATGTGTGTCACTATTACATCTCGCCTTTACGGTTTTCTATACAATCTTCCAATCAATCAGATTTGGAAAATCAGAGATGTTTTATGTATATACATTTGAGTACATTACTGTCTTATATGCCTTCTGAAAAAGCAAATAAGCACTATCAATATCCCTTTTGTGAGGAACTTCTAGAAAGCAAAACACCATAATCTTCAAATCAATGCACCATCATTTGAAAATACGAGATCTGTAACTATCAAAACCGTATTTATACATATTGATGCATCCATGTAGTGAAGTGCTTAAGAGTAGGGGTCTGGGACACAGGTGATCTGGGTTCTAGTTCTCATTCAGCCATGGAGTCAACTGGATGACTTTGGGCCAGTCACAGACTCAACCCAATCTCACAGGGTCCTTGTGAATATAACATTGAAAGGTGTAAGAGAATTATATTGGAGGGAAAATGAGGGATAGAAATATAATAAATAAATAAATATTACCAGGGAGTGATGATATTATTTACTGAATCTGATCAGCACAAAGGGCTTCAGTCATGGGAAAACAAAACAAAACAAGCATTGCCTTCCAGAATGCTGTCTGGCAAATAGAAACAGGACCTTCCTTATCTCAGACAACACATATCTTGCAGAAGGACCCTGAACAGTAAACCACTTGGCCTTGTCAGAACTGGTGATTAGTTATAGCCTTCAGTGAGAAAATTGTTCTCAGGAACATTCTTCAAAGAGCCACACTTTAATCTCTTGCTTGTAGATAGCAGTTTGGTGTAATTCCCAGTGAATGAAAGCAAAATGATGCCTTTATTGGTGAGCATATACATAATTTAAGTTTTCCAATTATTGTTTTGTGCTATCCAATAGCAACTCTGTGGGTGAAACCAAACAATCCTTGAGCAAGATAATACTTTTACGGAACAGTGATTATGGTTATGCTTTCCACCAAATTCCAGAAATATCAGAATTCTGATGCTGGATTCTAGATCAAATCTTCCAGATTAGAAAAGGGCCCCTGTGAATCTTACAGAAGGTCATAGCGGGTATCAAATGGATCTGGAAAGATAATGCATCCTGGATTTCACTGGGATTGGGCTGAAGTCCACTGTGCTAGAAATTCATAATAGTGTGAACACAGTCACCACAATTGCCTCTGGTTCTGAACATTTTGCTACCACAGAAGGAAAGAGGGCTCATTTTCCTCAGTGTTTAAACTTCTAAAGCAGCAGCAGCTAGATCTCACCAAGGCATGGCAAATGACCAAACTCTTGAAAATATATGCTTAGGAAAGATTTGAAATATGTAAATATAATTGGTACCTAAAGCAATAAGATGATCAGACTACGTTGCTAGTGAGGCTACTTTGTTTTCATTGATTATAACTCTTTTTGCACAGGAAAATAATCTCTTTTTAAACTCTCATCTAACTCTCATTAAACTTTCATCTATATCTTTTTGCATAAGACATTCAAACTTCAAACTTCTAGTCTGAAGAAAATGGCATTCTGCAGGAACTTGTGCCAAAAAGATTTTGATTCTGTTAATTATATCTCCTCTCAATGATGCTTTGCTCCTCTTAAATGTCAATTTTACATTAAGTAATTAATTTATCAGTTTTAGGGTTTTATTGTTCTAGCAGAAAAGAACAATACAGGGATTGGAAATGAAGACAATGAGCTTCAAAAAGAACTTAGCATTTAATAACTGGTATTTAATTATTTGAAGCATTTTACTCCACAATTCAGGCAAAAGGAGTGGGCTACATACTTATAATCAATGAAAAAAAGACAGTTCCTGCCCACAGGCTTATAGTCAAATAAAACATAACACAAAAGGGATGGACACAAAAGAGGGAAAAAAGCCAACCTGGGCATCAGTTTTTACAGTTCAATAACAGTTCTAATACTTCTTATAATTCTTATTATTTTCTATAGCTAATTGTTTTCAATCTGTTCCAATTTTTTAAGGTTTTATATTATGTTTTGTCATGTTAGTCCATAGCTCTTTGGATATTGTGCAGTATAAAATGTAATGAAGGAAACTCATGAAGCTCTGGGCACAGCTTCCCAGGTATGAACTAGATGCAAAGCAAACTATCTCATTTGGAGGTACACATGTGTACAATATGCTTGCCTACCCCAAAGGGATGGTACTATTTTTCTACTAATTTATACAGCGATTTTCAAATGTGTGATAACATCCTTTAAATGCACAAAAACAACCACGCCGAGCAAGTTATTATTCTCATTTAGGAAACAAGAAGCAAATAAGATGGAACTTCCACAAGGAAACCCAGAAAATACATGACTGACCTTAAATTTTATTTCAAGTCTACTAATTCCACATGTACCAGTCTGCTCATTGGACATGCTAGAAAATCCCCAAATATAAATGCAGGATTTAAATTCTGTCAAATTAAGTACCTGAGTACTCAAGCTTTATATTCAGCTAAGCCATTCATAAGGTTTGATCTCACCTTGCAGTAGTGGCTGGAATGCTGGACTGGAGTGCAGGAAATGCAGGTTTGAATCCTGATTCTACTATTACGCTTACTAGGTGATTTTGGCAAGTCAAAATTCTACATAGCCTTGCCTATCTTACTGCACAATAGCTTGCATCTCAAACTACAATGGGAAGAGGAGATGGACTTGTGCCATAGCAGGAAAGTGTTAAAGTTTAAAGTTCAAGAACTGGGGAATAAACACAGATATAAATTAGAGTTATAGATGAAGCATATTGAAGCATGCACAGTCTTGATTCAGATCAAGACCATGGCACTTCAAAGGAAGAAGGTTTAAGGTCTTCAAAAAACTTTCCACTAACATTGAGAAAAGGAGTTTTAATATATTTTTTTAACCCTTCATTTATTCCAGTGGAATTTGTGTGTGGAGGCAGGGGGACTGTCTTCTCCCAAAGCACACTGACTAACAAGTCAAGAAAAAAATAAGTCTCAACTGGATCAATGTGACTAGTAGAACATGTGGTTTCATTTCTCATTTCTTGAGACAGGATTAGATAGAGGGATTTTGAAAACATTTTAGACACTTGGAGAGGACAGAAAATTCAGTTGGAAGCTGAGAGTTAAAGAAAAGTGAGAAGTCCCAGCAAAAAAAAGACTGCCTTAACTCATGCACATACATACACACACCCCTTACAACTTTGCACTCGATGATAAAGAGTGGCTTTTCTGTTACTTAAAAGGAAAGCCAGACTAAGATTGTTAGTCTTGACTAATTTAATTCCACTGATTTAAGTAGCACTAATTTATAACTAGTTTAGTTTGAGTCAAACTAACAAACAACAAAATTTACTTTGCTGTTTATTCAATATGGTTTGGACAAAGTCAGATTCCATGTCATTACCTGCAAAGTTAACAGCTTCAACAGTAAAACAAGGTTACCTTGGCATATTTGAGGGTATAGCATAACAAGGTGATGTACTCACATGTAACATTTCAGATCAGCTAAAATGTTGGCTTTATTAGTGAATATTTTCAGCTGTTAAATCTGGCATGCACACATTCCTGTACACATGCACATTCACATTTATTGTTCCAATATAGTGTCACTATTTTCAGTGCATGGAAGTTAAGACACTATTACCATATCTGAAAAGGTTTTGAATGGTTTTCCCCCCCTCTTAACAAAAATGCATATAAAATAAAGACAATGCAATACAACTGAGCAGCTCTGACAAATTATATTAAAAACTTTGTTTAAAAATGGTAAAATAAATATTAGCATCATTTATTTTGATAGGTTAAAGTGATCATACTGAATTAGGCAGCAATTACATACCACTATTTAACTGGACTATAAAATACAACCCCTCCCCTCCCCCCTCAAAAAAGCACCACCACCACAAGTCCAAACACATGCAAATATAAACTGTTTTTAACATACCACTGTGTGTACGTTCAATTTTTTATAGCTCTTTTTGTTAACTGTAGTACAAATGAATAAACCTATGAATATTGAAGGAAGAAAAAACCATCCTCATATCCGATATGGTGACACAATGCATGATCCCCTTGAAACAATTAGTTCTTCCTCTTCTCTTCCTCTATATAATTTCTATATAATCTGACAACACTATCCAAATGTGCAACAAATAAAAGGGAAACAATGAAGTTGATACCTTCTGTAAATGTTCAGAGAAATAACATACTTCACTAAGCCGTGAATGAAGACTTATTTTCTCTCGGTCCTTCTGTTGCAGATCTGACAGCAGTGACCAAATTATCTGAAGATTCTGTATATGTCCTTTAGTTTTGCGAAGTTCATTTCTATTCACTGACTTTTCGCCCAGAGGCTCATCTTTGCCAAGAAAAGGGGGGTAGGGAAATGCCAGGCAACCTGAATGTAGTTTCTCCTAAATCAATAATCTTGCAATGACTAGGAGAAAATAG